GTATCAATTTTTTAGATATGCGAATTTGACATACGCGAGTTTTCTCTGGGATTCATACGATGATTTCGTGTTGCTGGATGGAGAACAAAAATGGAAACGTTATGATTTAAAGTGTACGGAACTGTTCGTTGTCGTTTGTCCTCCTACTTCTATTAATCATAATGTAGGGACAGGACGAGTAAAGGAAAAGCTACTTTAAACCGAGTGGATGCACTAAATATAAAGAGGCCGGTAGGGAAAAGAAAATGAATTCCTTTGTGTGGATGTTTAAACTTCTCAAAAATATGAAAATTGCAAGCCACGATGCAAGCCCGGTGAAACTGGCTCTCTAAGATTGTCATAAAAGGGAAAAAGAATATGTGATATTAAAGAAATAGTTACATGAGAGGCAAGTCTTGTGTATGAGGTCGACGAAAATGTATGAACGGTCAAAAAATGTGTATTTCGTGGTGAAAAAAATTTACAACTCAATTTTTTTACGCAGGAAAGATTCACAAAGGACGCATTTGATATGCTAGCATATATTAAGTCTTTGATATTTCAGTGGAAACAATGAGAACGGAAATCCACTACTACAGAATTCTCTAGTATGAAGAATACGTTCATTACAGTAAATTATTTTCAGCAAATTGAATTTGAGTTTAATTAAAATCGTGGGAAAAATAGAATGTGATAGATAAATTCGGCTTGTCTAGTTTAAATTCTTTGCATACACACAAATTGAAATGTTTCAATAAAACAAGCGAGTGAAGATTATTTAAGTCATCTCGTGATTAGAAACGACGGATCACGATTGCACGATGAATAATTGTAATCGCGGAGCCAGCGGACGTTAATGCTGGTCGCGAACGTGTCCGGTCTTTTCTCCAGCGCGGTGCACTTCCAGAGAGCGCGTTGAGTTAATGAGACAGAAGAACGAGCGACGCGATATTGCAAGTTTGAGAAATGGCCTCGTAAAGGCGTTACAGCGCTGCGCTGCGGCGCTGAAACTCGAGACGAACCCCGGAAGCAAGAATTGAAACGTTCATGAGCGCCAGGACAGAAAAACTGCTGTCCCGTGCTTCCGCGTGTTCTGTAATCACGTTTTGGCGGACGCCCACGTACACTGCTTGGTGATCACTTCTCTAGTATTGATGAATTCTAATTGAACTTCCATTTTATTTATGAAATAATGTTGTACTATAATAATCAATCACTAATTCTATATCTCGGTCATAATTATACACGTATACATTTTTTTCGATAGTTTCTAACAATTCAGTGTCATTCGTAACTCACCAGATAATAGAATGGTCGAATAAGATAACAATCTCTAAAATAGATAAAATTTCCATTAAAGGAGCATTGCAATTTTGCGCAATTTGCATTAATTAATAGAAGTCAGCCACTTGAGAGAAAGTGAGGAAAGTTACTGATGCAAATCTATCAATCAATCCGAAAGTTGATACCTTCATTAAGAGATTGTGGTTCTTATCGTTAAGATGGTTTTTTTTTTAGAGTTCGCATAAAATGATAGGAATATCCGGAATGATCCTGAATTCCGAAGCAATTAGAGTTCGTATGACTGAGAAATTTACTTTTCTCCCGGATAAACGAAATTACCGTTTGAAGAGGGGCGGGCGGTGGCCGACATCGGCGGTTTCCTAGCCACGTTCCACCGCAACTTCGCCAACGTTTCGCGATGCTGCGAACGCGGCATGGCGAGAGTCAACGGGAGTGGGTCGGGTAGGGGGGGGGCGGATGTTCTTCGAAGAGCACTTGTCTGGTCGCGTGAATTATTGGCTCCACTGCTTCGACCTCGATCCATCGGATCTGATACTACATGGTCAAAAACCTGGCAAATTTCGCGCGTCTATTCCGACCCCTTTCATGTGGCCTGCACACCTCTAGTCGGGAGTCCCGCAAGCGATCAGAATATTTCCTTGCGTCTACTCTCGATCAAGCTTAATTAGGAGAAGCGTGTCACGCTGCAATTTCGAACACGATTTCAATTCTCAATATATGTATTTTGATATTTCGTGACACTTGTGTTTGTATTTTAGACTTAAAAGACATATTAGACTAAAAGTGGACAATTTTAATTATCTGAAGATCAACGGCGAAAAAATAAGAACATTTTTATCGGTTCCGTTATATTCCTCTTTTAAAATCGTACATAAACAAGCAGGAAATAGTTAATCAAATTCAATATAAATGGCAATATGCAAAGGACGTGTGTTTAAAACGCGCAATTCAGAATTAAACGAAGTTAATGCGTGCATAGGTTTCGATGTTCATCAATATTATATAAAATTATAGACACTATTGACGGAATGCTAATGTACGTTTCAGCATAATTTACTCTGTATAATTTGAAAATGTAAAAAATAGAGAAATAACCATGTTTCGAATCGAAATGTTTCATCAAGCTTCATCAAGTCATCATCAATGATGGAATAATGATTAAACTTCCAATTAAATGCACGAAATAATAAATCGTGATAAAATACATGAAGGGCATTTCTATCACGCGTTATTTTATTCGTCTTGCATTAACTGTCGACTGTTATCAATATTTCACTCTTGTTTCTGCAAATACAAAATCACTTTTGATACTGCGACGTATTATGATATATTTATGTACAAATGTGTTTAAACAATGAATTCTGTAACTAACAAAAGTTTTTCTATTTCTCTTTTTTCATGCTTTCCCCTGAACCACTTTGTCGGTCAACGATTTTGGTGATGGCATCGATGACGGATGAAAAACAACGACACCTTAACAATCCGCATCGTAACGACGACACACGCTGATTAACTTTGGTGATGGTGACCCACGATATCACGACGATGCGTCGCACCGTTGGTAACCGCAATGTCTGGTGCACCGTGGTGACGGTGACAACAATGACACGTTAATAAATCATGGTGACGGTGACCACATTGGCATGCTAACAAACCGCATCCACGATGACCGCACTGATACACTAACATTTCGTTGGCCCCACGACTTAATTGCGCCCCGTAATGCACCTATTTAAATGCTTATAATTACGTTACATTCGATACCTTCTGCCGTTTATCTTTTCCCATCCCTCTTGAAATTGTCGTATTATAAATTTTTATCAAAATGTTACCCTTCATTACTATCACATATTTAATATATTTCATTCCTTGGATGATGTTGCACGTGTCTATTATTTATACTCATTTGATTATTTAATGATATCGCTATACAACTTATTCATGTAATTAATCTGTATAACAAAATCGTGTAATCTCTAAATCTTTTACGACACGAAAACAATCTTGAAACGAAATTAACAAACCGGAAACGTCCCACGCCATCACTCTTCCTGACACCGACGCGATGGGGTGATACGAATCGGTTTGAACGTTAACGCCACAACGTGATGCGGTCCCGCGCGCAAACTCGCCGTCGAATTCCACAAATGCGGCCTCGTTGCTCGTCTCGGAACGTACCGACGCGGCGTACATTTCGCGTGTAAACGAAACGACACCGCTTTCGCGGATGTCATCGATACATCGGCTGCCGACCGACCGTCCGATCCTCGCGATTGATCCACTCGTTAATTACCGCGGCAAATCCCTCGGAACTGATCACCATTGCGGCTACACTGTTACGGGTCATCGATCGGATCCATCCACGGTCTCTCCCCCTGTGTACTTCCTTCCTTCCGGCCGTGTCTGTGAATTTCACCATTTCGTGATCACCCTTTCACTCGCCTACCTTTTTCTCCTCTCTTCCTTTTTTTGTCTTCATTTTTATCCGAACTTGTTCGCGTGATTTTCACACTTTGTTGCTTTTTCTGTCGCTGGTCCGTGTTCCCGCGCACGTTTTGACACTCGATATTGCTGTTGGAACGTGGCCCAATCGATTTGCTCGCAAATTTAATACGTTATACCGAACAATACACCTGTGCAACTTTCGCACCCTTTCTACCCGGAATTTTATTTTGCGTATTCCTTAAAAAAAAAATTTCTCTCCCATGCAAATTTAACTTCAATTATATTTCCTTTCCAATCGTTTTATTAAATTTTAATACATTCTTTTTTAAAAATTTTTCATCAACGACTGAATTACGTTAATTTGAAATGCGTTATAATTGAGAAACTCAAATTACATCGATTCACTCTGATCACTATTTTAACGCGTTTAGCCCTGTTATTAGGCACCCTGAAGACCTATCAGCGCGCAGCTTGTGATGAGGAGTCGATGACGCTGAAGTGTCCGCTAGGTACCACGATTTCTGTCGTTCTCGCACAGTATGGAAGGGCCGGCGTGAACAGCACTGATAGATGCAGCTACTCTGATCCATCCACCTACATCGGAGACAGGCAGGCGAATCAGACTTGCATCTGGCCACAATCGCTGCAGGTACGTGTCTAAAAAGTAATTTTGCTAAAATTTGTCAAACCAATTGAGAAGAAAACGAGTTTCCACGATATTCACTAAGAATGATTTGTATTCAAATATCATATTAACCTAACCTAACCTAAATTAAATTAATCATCGACTTAAACAGTAACATAAAATAATGACAGGAATATTAATTTGCATTGTTTACATGTATTACTCACATTATTTATTAACATTGACATAATTTACCTTAATGCTTTCAACCTCACTTGTGTAATTTTAATTAAATCTCTGTACAAGTAAGCATGTGGATTACATCTATCGATTCATACATATAATATT